AAAATTCAATACAAAAACATCGACGCATTTCATTTATCATTTTAGCATATTTTTATTGAGTCCACCCATTTGTGTATTTGCATGTCAAAAAAGATACAATGTAAATTCGGCAATCGGTGATGTGAAATGAATGAAAAATGCAAATCCGGTTGTTGTCCTATTTTGCACAGCAATTTGGTGTTTCTATTGAAAAAAAGTTTATTAGAGATGAAATATGCGAAACAAATTTAGTGTCTGTTTGCATATTTATTAAAAAAAAAAAAAAAACAACAAGCAGGGTTTTTTATGATTCATGTAACGGAAGTGTTTTAAAAAGTGAGAGGGTCGGTTTAGTTTTTCAGGCTACTCGAGCAGAGTAAACTTTTATATAGGCATTAATCGATTGCGGCTAGGATGCAAAAAGATATATTAATCGATATGCTTTCTTTAAATATTTATCGATTATGTACATATTCATCGGTAATATAACGAAGTGCTTGTAATTTTCACAACTGTTATCGCCGAAGTTATCGATATTAATATTAAAATTGTTATCATCGTTCTTTCGATAAATTATCGGAACTTTTGTCGATAATTTCTCTTCGCTATATACAGATCGGAATTTTTACGCGCTAACTACAATTACCAACACTTCGATAACAGCTCGATAGAATACTTTCCGATATCGCTATCGACGAATTTTTCGATATCTTAATAAAGATTCAAAGTAAAGAAAGCGATAAATCGATCGACACACTTATCGGCCGGTTACGATAAATCTATCGTACTTAGATCAAAGTATTATTGTTATCGACAAATTGATGGATAACTCCAGCTAAATATTTACCAAGAAGTCGATAATCGATAAATTTATCTAAATATGTATCTATAAATTTATGCATATCCTCATCAATTTTTCTATTTGCTTTTTTCGAAACCTTTTTTTATACATACATACATACGAGCACAAAATTAGTTCCACAGCTTTTAATCTTTACATCAGCTACAATTTTATTTTCCTCACATAGATAGTTCATAAGATGCGAGCATGTAAATATAAATTGCATTTGCAATATATTCACGAATTATTCCGCTTGGATTTTCCTTTGAAATTGAGAGCCCACCTTGCATACATAAATATCAGTTAAGTTACTTAGCAGCCATGATTTCGACAGCAGCAAGAAAAAAGAAACTAAAAACAAACCTGTGGAAGTAATATAAAGCAACCGGATTTGTTATTAATTAATTTTATGGCACACAAAAACTGCTAAAGCCACCATATTCTCATCAAAAAAGAAAGACAAAAGTTTGACCTTCATTTAATTGTTAAATGTTTATATCTACATACATACATATTTAGATCTTCATTTCTTTCTCATTTTTAAATTCTCTTCCAGCAACTGCTTTTGATTGTCACGTTCCTGTGCTGACCGAGTGGAAGTGAATAATTTGTTTGTTTTTTTTTTTTATTGCAATGAAACAAAATAATTGTGTGAATTTGCATTAACATTTATAGCAGAGGTGGATTAATTTGTATGCGAGCACCGTTAAGAATGTGTTGACAGATTTATAACGGTGCTTAGTTAATACAATCGCAAAGTAAAAAGTAGAGAAATAAAAGAAGAAAAATTTAAAATTGAATGGGTGAGAAAGGAAGGCAACAAACAAGTTAGGTGCGAGTAGATTTGGGAGAATACACTTAAAGCTTTTTTGTCGATATACATATGTATGTATATGTATACATATTTCGATTTAAAATTTTAATATCGCGTTGGCATTTTTATTTATATCCACGCTGATATATTAAACGATATATTTTACAATAGCGTTATCGATATACCTCTCTGCTTTTGCCGATATACATATGTCTCTACATTTATCGATATTATCGATACCAAAGTTATAGATTTTAAGTTAGGTTTTAAACTGAAAAATAACACTGGTTTACAGGAAAAATATTCAACGGACGCCACTATCCAATACGTATACAGAATTTCTCACTGATTCCGAAAATGGAGTTAATTTTTTATTCCATGGATACGGTGACCATTCGTGCTGATTTTGGCGGGACAGTGCCGATTTTGAGAAAATTGTCCCGCTGAATACTTCTTAAAAGTCGGGGTGTATAAGTGTCCCGATTTTTCATATTTGTACCGCTTAAATCCCGCTTTTCAGTGTTTTCTTTATTAATCTGACAAGAGTCTTCCTGTACTCTGGCACAAAAACAATTTTTCGTACAAATTTAGCAGCACTTTCGCTATCACAAAGAACACAGAATACAGTTAGAGGAGCCATAAACATTGCAATCATCCTTTATTTTCCTTCTATGAACTGGTACTCTTGCTTATTGCAGTCATCATCCTTGTCAAGGTTTTTATAATTAACTGTTAAATTTTTGGTTTTTTTAATGAAACGATTCTAGCTTGAATTTAGTTGAATTGTAAAAAATAATACTTTAAACTGTTCATGAATATAAGGTGTAGATACAGTGGCGAAAATATAGATAGGGAAGAAACATTATTTTTTATGAAAGTAAAGCTCGTTGCATAACAGAAATCATGTAAATAAAACTTCGTACAAAAATTTTCCAAACTCTACAAAGTTTTATCAAAATTGTGTGCTTTTTAATTATATTTCTTAGAAAAACGAAGTGCAAATTTCAAAATTCAATGGGCTTCAAAACTGCAGGCACAAATTTTAAAATTTGTATCAACATTTTGTTAGAATTCGTCGAATTTCTAATTCTTCTACAAAATTTGAAATTTTCAGTTAAATGTTTTTTTTTTAATAATAAAAATTTTTAAACAGAGAAAAGTGCCCAAAATTTGCTAAAATGTCATTTCCCTAATTACATTCTCACCACCGTACATATTTTGTGTATACATTTTTGCGATAATTTTTTTTAATTTTTTTTCGCTTTGTTATGTCTTAAATAAAGCTATGTTTATTAAAAGATGTTATGTTTTTTTATTCTATCTAACAAAATTGTATTTTCAGATTCGATGCTTCAGAAATGTCTCGATTTTTGTCCACGGAAATCTGGTCACCGTATCTATGGATAAGTTTACGAGATATTTACAGGTGTACATACATACATGGCGTATGAGTAACATTCTTTCCTGCTCATTTTTCATACAACCAACCTTTGCGCATTTTCATATGACCACTTATTAGTTCTTTATTTATCCATCGATTTGCTGCATTATCAACTTGATTTTTTTTTTGTAAAAGAACAGGCTTTAACACAGCTTTGAATGCACTAAACAGTCATCATTTGATGGCATGTCATAAGATTTAACGTTTTGTAATAATTCTTACTTCGTTGGCACAACTATTAGACCATTTTTAATAGCCAGCAAAAACATATAAATATATTACATTTGTATGTATGTATGTATATATCACATCGTATTGCATCACATCACATGATGTCATATCGCACATCACTTGATGCCATATCAAGTCATACGTATTACAAATTTTTCCACCTTACTTTTGCCCTCTCCCCAATGCTCATATTCTAAAATTATCACAGAAAAAATGACAATCTCTACTTGACAGAATTGTACGCGCACATTGTAAAAATAAGAAATACTAACTATGTAAATATTTATTTTAGCGAAATGACCGTAAAGCCATTCTAAGCTCCGCATAGAGACTAAAACCTATTCAAAATCCTACTAGACATACTACATACTACATACATATCTAAGCTATTGACTGAGTAAAGTGCATACGTTGACGGCTTATCGAAAGAATGCAATTTATAGTTCTGCTAATGTGGCTGCAAAGTAAAAACCCAACAACAATACAAAGCTATGATACTTTCAGCAGCAAATGCAGTGTGTGTACATATTTTGTGTTAGACAATTAAAATAAAACACCGGCTATATTTTGAGTTGAGTTTTGATAGATATCGTTACCTAAACGTAAAAAGGTACCAAGTCCAATTTTTTAAATTGTTCAGGAGAGACGAAAAATCGTTGTGGCTACGCATTATCTGTAATTCTGCATCAAAAACTAAATTTTGAAAAAAAAAGTAGACTTGGCACCTTTTCAGCTTAAGGTAAGCATATGTACATCTGTACGTAAATACAATTTTTCGTAGGCGTACTTTTACGTATGTATGTATGCACATTTTTTACATCATATGTATATACACATGTATAGACTTAGGTATGGGCGTACATTATTATGTTAAGGCGCCACCATGTATCTATGGACCTGCCTATATTACTCTGCTAGACAACCTTTTTTGAAATAAGCTAAAATAAAAACTGTAATATTGAAAATACGATTAAAGAAAGCATTGAGCTTACTGCACTAAAGCAAAGCTTGGTTTCCTTATGTATTATTTTTTTTAGCGCCTTAAGCGCTGTTTTCACTAAAGCTAGTTTTATAATATTGATCGTCAAATAAGTGAAAACACAGTCGTTGCTAAGTCCACTATCTGCCAGCTTTAGACGGTAAGAAAATTGAGCAAAATCTGTCGATATGTCTTGTCCACAAAATTTGACATGGTGAAAACTTGCCTTAAGAGTTTCACTACTTTCATTCAAAATTTGGAAAGTACAAATGCGTCTGCTCCTATCAAATGGTAATTTTATATTAAATGAATTAGCAGCCAAAATAAAAAAATAAAATTATTAACCTCGGAAAAATTAAAAAAAAAATAAGTAAATAAGTTTAAAATAATTTAAAAAAAATTAAAGAGTTTATTAAGTGATAAAAAATAAACTATAATTAATAAAAAATAATAACAAGGAGTAAGAATACTAAAAACCTTTTAATTTTGCTAGGAACATCTTTCAAAGCCCTGGACCTCTAAAATCAATTTTGTAAAACTTTCGCAATAAAAATATTTACGTACATGCATAAATGAAATAAAAATTGCATAAAAACTAATTTTTGATTAAATTATTACAAACCTTACAAAATTATTAAAATTTTTTTATAAAATTTTCAAAATTTTTTTATAAAATTTTCAATATTTTTAAGATTTCTTATTTTTAAAAACTTACCATGCAAAGTACTGCACGCGCCATTCTTGATTGTATGCTTAAAGCAAGGAAAATTATTTTACTTAAAGTTCTAGGCGATCTATTAAAAAATCTTCGGAAGAAAGAAAAGAAAATAAAAAATTAATTAACTAAGACGGCAGCGGCAAATTTCACTTCAAACATATATTTGTTTTAACACTTAATCCATCTGGCGTTTGAGAAATGTTTTTTTAAAGTCTTTTTCAATGAATATTTTTTTAAAAACTTTTAAGCAAATTTTATGTTTGCTGCACAAATGTTCATTATTTTTGTTTTTCGTTGTCTTTTTTTTATGTGATTTAGTAATCCACAGTTTTGTTGCAAGTTGTTGTTGTTGTCCTTTGAATGTTTTTAGGCACAATGGTTTAGAAAAACCTTTTTTCAACTTTAAACGAAAAAAATTTTTGTTTCAAATTGTTTTTGTTCTAAGTTCTTTTATTAAATAAACTCAATTCTTGCCGCTTAGTATTTTTGAAATAACAATTAAGTGTTAAATTTCTTAGAAAAAAAAACAATAAACTATACTAAATTGTTATGCTGGAAATTACAATTTCAAAAAATCTTTACTTTGCTAGACCGTACCGTTTGGACCGATCTGTGAGAACTGAAGATGCTCGTTGCGCTGCTTGCCAATATAAATGAAGACTGCGAAATTCAACAAAAGCCCAAACTGCGAAACAACATCTTTTTTTATTTTTTTTATTAACAACAAAATTAACAATGCGACGATCTGCCACGCCAACTATACATACAAACATGTACATATATAAATAATCAGGTGTGTAGTGGTGCGCAGGCGCAAACGTCGATGCTAACGCTGACGCTGAGCACAACGTTTCATTAGCGATCAGCAATGAAATCGTTCGCATCATCGGCAGCAAAAAAAAATAAATAAAATAATAATGTGAACATCTTCAAATAACAACAGCAAGCACAGTGTGCTCACTCGACTGCTCCAAAGCCAGCTGAATTGTTGACGGAGACGCAGACGCGGACGCGGAGTTGTGCTGTAGGTGCGTTTCGTGCCCAAAACCTGCCAGCCCAGCAGCACACGCAAGAAACGGGTTTAACAGGCAGCGATCGCAGTGATGCGACTTGAAGGCGGCTTTGTATGTATTTGTGTTAAAAGTGGAGCCACTCGCTCTCTCTCTCACTCTCTGTGTGTGTATGGAGCTCCGTTGATCGCGCACACAGCCAGGGCAGGTGTTGCGCCCCATTGTGGATTTGTGGGTGTGTGTGAATGTGAATTTTGCCGTATTAACCGTTAAGGGTAGCTTTTCTCTAATGCGCATGTGTGCGTAGAAATATCCACACCCATGTAAATATTCACAAAATTCAGCAGCCAGCAATTGGCAACTGTTTCATAAACGGCTGTAAAATTGAACTTCATATTTGCCAGCCCTTTGCCACATTTCATCGTGTCTTTGCTCGTTTTTTTCTTTCTTTTTGGTAATTTATGTATCATTCAGCTTCAAATATTTGCTAATATATTTCAAGTTTTTCCCGCTGCCACACATAAAATTCATTTTGCATGTGATTTACTAAATAAGAAATTCAAATGTTTGCGCTTGAAGCACAACCACATTTGAACCCGGCCTGTGCGGGTTCGATCCCATAAATGTTGTTCGTGTTTATATTTCAACATTTTTGGATTTTCGTTGTCTTCTATAAGATTTATTAACAATTCTTTTAATTGAAATTATAATATCTTCGATGAAATTTATTTGCTGTTTATCGATTTGAATGAAGTTAAGTTGAAATTATTTCCGCAACATTTGAAATTATTATATTCACGCGAATGTTTATGGACATTCGTACATACATGCATACTTACTTATGTATGTATGTCTGCAGGTCTGTTTGTGTGTATGTGCGGCAGCTATTGTTTTATATTAGTTTGTATTTAATTACTTAATCACTAATCAAAAGACTATTAGTCAATATACATACAAATTTACTAAACACATTTGGACAAAAAAAAAAATTATTTCTGGCTACTCAGATTCCTTCCTGGAAATATTGCTATTATCCATTGTTTTAATTACTTCTGAATCTTTACATTCATCTAATTAACTCACAGTCGTTTCTGTTAAATGAATAGCATCAACAGAAAAACAAATTAATATAAAATAAATTAATTTCTCAACATATACATATCTACATACTAAATACAAACTAATTACGTGCCTAATTTCATATATAAATAAAAAAAAAGTAAGTGCGCCTGGGCCACACTGGAGAAGTGAAACTTACGTTACATATCTATTTTGTCTCATAACCAATATACATACAAACATACATACATCTGCTTTTGCTTAAGGATATATTTTTTGTCTTTTTTCTATCTAGATTCCTACCCCTGTTCATTCTAATTACATTTATGTTATTCTGTTTTGATTTATCTTCATTTTTATCTCTATTCTCTAACGATAACAAAATCGATAGTAACATCCAACAAAATATTGATAAAAAAACCGTTAAAAATATCGATAACAAGATCGATGACAAATTCGACAAAAATTTCGATAGCAAAATCGATAATAATACTGGTAGCAAAATCGATTCGAAAATCGATAAAAATACAGACCAAAATTTATAAAAAATATCGATAACAAAATCAATAACAAAAATCGCTTAGAAAATCGATAAAAATATCTTTAACAAAATCGACAGCAATATCGAAAAATAATCGATAACAGAACGGATAACAAAATCGATAAAAATAACGATAAAAAAATCGATAAAAATTTCGATCACAAAATCTATAGCAATATCGATAACGAAACCAATAACACTATCGATAACAAAATCAATAAAAATATCGATAACAAAACCGATAAAAATATCGATTTTTATATCGATAAGTCCCGAGAATTCCGAAAGTCTCTAAATTCCCAAAATAGTTCCCATATTGAGTCTCTGTGTCTCCATCTATGTATGTCCTTTTCTCTATAATTACCTTTATTCTAATCTTTCTTCCTCTATCTTAATCTTTACTTTTATCGGTATCCTCATCTTCATCTTTTCCTTTGAATTTATCTTTGTTTTTACTTTATGTTTATCATTTTCTTCATCTACATATTCCCCTTCACCTTTGCCCTTATATAAGTAAAGTAATTTTTGCCTTTATCTTTACGCATGTTTATTTTATTTTTATTTTTGCCTTTCTTTGCCTTTATACTTTTCTTTGTCTATGTTCGTACTCATCTTTACTTTCATTCTTGTATTAGTCTTTTTCTAAGTGTTATTCTTTAACCTTTTATTAGCAAGTTTTTGTTAAATTAATACCATATGCATAGACTCAAGAAGCTCTTGTTTCAGCCCCAACCATTTCCGTTGCACCATTTCCGTGTGCAATTTCCGTTGAATTTGCCAATTTAATCCCAACCAACCCACCGCTTTTCACTTAAATAAATTTGTTTGAAGAAATGGCCATGAAACATAATTTATATAAAAGGCAAAGGCAAAGGGCATTCCTTCAAGTCATGTGCAAGCAAGAGCAAGCTATCAAAAATAACTTTGTGGATGACTCTTACCGTGCTTTCGCGCTATTGATACCAAAGTGGACCAACAATCAGATAACCAACTCTTCACGGCAAAACATAGTATGAAGCCGAACGACTTCCCCGAAGACCGAAATATGTTAGGTGGCTATTATCAGTAAGGTTAAGGCGGTTGCGCCAAACGTTGTGCCACTTGAACATTAAACATCACTACTTTGTGGTACAACTTCGGAGGTTAATTGCAAAGCTAAAGCGAAAAATTAGGTATCAGCGTACTAGACGTGCAAAAGGACATTTGGAAAGAAATGGGGACTATCACCATACGTATTAGGTTTGCGACCAGCGAAGAATGTGATGCAGAACTGGCAGTAGCATAGGAAGGTATATCCATCTACATTGATGGTTCAAAGATGTAACAAGAAACCGGAGCCGGTCTCCACTCGAAGGACCTACAGATACATCGGTCCTTTCATCCACCGAACGATTGCAGTGTCCTCCAAGCAGAGTAACGGCGGCTAGTCTTTTACTAAGTAATTGGTATGTTCTAGAAAATAAAGTCTCTGAAGCCAATAGGATCTAAAATAGTGAAATCGGGAATTGTATGGAAATGTCGCACCACGCTGTAGTCACTGAGCCGTATCAACGTCACTCTATGTTGGGTCCCCGGACGTACATATGTAGTAATATTGAAGGGAATGAGTTGGCTGATTAGATGGCCAGATGTGGCTCCGAGATGCAAACAAAGGAAGCCGATAGCTCCGACCAACCACCGATTAGTGATCATGTTAGCAAAGGCGATGAATGTATCGTGGCCGCGACTGAGTAGGAAAAAGACGGGGAACGTATCAACAGATCTACAGTAAGAGTCCTTACCGGTGTTATCACAGGATACCGCGCTATGGCACCAATGCTTCAACGATGGCGAACACGAACAAGTACTCTCTGCAGAATTTGCCGTTATGAGGAAGAGGAAGAGTCAATTCTGCCTCTTTGATCTCCTTGGCTTCCTTAGGCTTAGTAATTGGTTCAGTATAATGATGACTTGAAAGTACTTAGCTACTTTCCCGGTTATGGGTACGTGTCTCCCCCTAATACTCATTTTAAGAGGGCACTCACAATGGACAATTATGTCTCCGAGTGAAAGTATGGAATATTCCATACACGCCCTCCTAACCTAACCTAACCTTAACACGTCCTGATTTTGCCGTTCTCGTTCATTGAGCTGGCATCTGCTCAAGAGTAGTCTACAGGGTATCAAGGCACTCTCACTCTACCTTTTTTGTTGAAAGCGACTTGAAGGTGCCTCTCCTGGCTAGCTTATTCTCCAGGTAGTTGGCCCTAGACTGCGATGTCCGCTTGGCTTTCAGAGAAGATATTTACCTAGCTTGTCTCATAATTGCGCAGCCAATCGACTACTACGCCTTAACGGCGGCTACCTCTACCTGGAAAACAATTCAGTGTTGTGGAAGCCTAAATTTGATGTTGGTAGAGTGTTTCTTGTAAAAGACCTCTCCATCGAACTTTGGCACATCCAATGTAGAAGTTTTCCGATGCGTATGAACAATGCGAGTTCCATCTTGCTACGAATTACACACAGTCCACAGTTTGCAGACCACCAAGACACCAGTTTCAAGTAACCCTGGACGAGGGTATCCAGAAATTTAATCCTCGCTAGACCGTTTAGGATTACAGTCCATCAAAGGATATGTATTTTCGGATTGTTTAGGACCCGATGAGTTCTACAAGCTTAAAATAAGTGCTGTCAGGTAGTTGGGCCAAAAATTCTATCTGAAAGTTTGGGGCGAATTCCGGCAAGGATAAGAATTCCTAAACGGTAACTGACGCTCAGAACATGCTTAAATTATGTGCTGAACAGTTCTCGACGTTGCCTCATTGCCCCAGCATGGATGCCAATAAAGGAGATGATGATCCCAAAACTTCATTCGTGATCGAAAGAGTGATCGCTCCTTTACATTTCTGTGAAAAAGTAGTGACGACGAAAGCAAATTTTTTCTTAGAAATTACATGGCTCATTCTTGCAACCAGGTTCTGAAATATAAGTATTACTGGTACAAAGAGCGAAATGTTTGTTAATTTCG